CAGTATTTTGACAAGACTTGGGGAACAATATCAACTCAAGATTGGTCAGTCAGTATTTTGACAAGACTTGGGGAACAATATCAACTCAAGATTGGTCAGTCAGTATTATGACAAGGCTTGGGGAACAATATCAACTCAAGATTGGCCAGTCAGTATTATGACAAGGCTTGGGAGAACAATCTCAACTCAATATTGGTTAACAAGTATTGTGAAAAGACTTGGGGAACAAGACTAACTCAAGATTGGTCAACCAGTATTGTGACAAGACTTGGGGAACAAGACTAACTCAAGATTGGTCAACCAGTATTGTGATAAGACTTAGGGAACAAGACTAACTCAAGATTGGTCAACCAGTATTATGACAAGACTTGGGGAACAATATCAACTCAAGATTGGTAAGCCAGTATTTTGACAAGACTTGGGGAACAATATCAACTCAAGATTGGTCAGTCAGTATTATGACAAGACTTGGGGAACAATATTAACTCAAGATTGGGCAGCTAATAGTATGCTACGATATGATGAAGAAAATTAATTCATGATTAGACAACTGCTTCGTTTTCCATCTTGAATATAGTTTGGCAAACCATTTATGCATATACCTATTTGGTTTCGTCAGTCGAAGCTTGACCAAACTTTGGTTGAATATTGACAAATCCATACTTGACTGCACCAAACTTGGCGAAACGTTAATAAACCTAGCTTTGATATTTGAAGATTGCCCCAACTTTAGATTAGTATTGACAAGGCAATTCTTGGCTCCCCTAGTGTTGAATCAAACTTGACGAAACTTTAATGTATTGGTATTTGGACCAATATTGATATGCCTATGTTTGACTTTTCATTACTGCTCCAGGTTTGGACCTGTCAGGTCCTTCATTTTCTACATGGAAAGCTGCGGAATATTTAAGATTTCAATTACCATAATGGCCCATCCAGATACAGTCAGGTACTCAAGCAACAGTTTGGTGTTATTACGCATAATAGGTGTAATCCTTCAAGTAACTTCATTTATCTGAAGGAATTTTGGATAGAGCACGAGTAACTGTAAACTTTTATGTACTAAATATCATTAGCATTTAGCAGTTTAAGAGCCTCTTTATAGTCCTAGACGTCAATTGTGTGGCAAGCAGTTTTCCATTTTATGATCTCTCTTGAACTCTTACTACATGAACTTTTCAAGATTCTACAGTACGTCTGTGCTTCAACAACAACTAACCTAGGGCTGAGATCATACGTGAGCGGGAATGCAAATGGTTCTGTAAAATAAATTAGTAACAACCACTAGGCTGATAGTTAGCAGAATTCATTGAAAATTTATAATACTTGTTACAACGTGATTGGTCATAAATTGGTTGAGAACATATTCATGAGGGGTATCGGTTGTAAGAAAATAATTAATATCCAATTGATACAATGCATATTATTCACATTTTCTTTGCAATACCTATGCACTTATGTGTAAACTAATTTCTACCTGTTTATGGATTTTAAGGATTCTATAAGTTAGCTGTAATAACATAAAAATACTGTTTATCGTGAATTGTTGTTTAAGTGTTATATTATATGTTGTTCGGAAAGTCATTTTGTTTTTTTTTGTGGAAATGAAAGACAGTTTTCGTATAATAAACAAATACTTTATTAAATTATATATTGACCGTTCTGGTCCAACACCTTTTGCCATCTTTCTGGTAGTAGCATAATTCCACGCTCATAAAATTTTTGGTCTTTGCTG